ATTTTATTTTCAGTTTTTATTGTACATATAACATATTTTTGTATATCCGAAATTTGTAATTTTAGACCACCGAAATAGTATCTCGAAAAGTATAATATAATTAATAGTTATAACTCAGATACAAATGGATAAATAGTAATATCCAAGAAGTGAAGAATGCTTAAAGCACAAAATCAACTCGAGAACTTATAGTTAAGTGAACTGCAGTGGCTACCCTCGCTGTTCATCCCCCGTGCGGCACGGGCATGGCGTGTCAAAGAGACTGCGTGCCACGGCGAGTCGCTTTCGTTCGCCTTCATTGCCGACGCATCGCCTGCTGTTGCCTTTTTGGCCGTGGCACAATTGAAAATTGGCTCAGCGAGAGCGAGTGCGAGTGCGAGTGCGAGCGAGAGGGAGAGCTGATGAACGAGAGGGCGAATTGTAGTTGGTGTCGGAATTGGAATCGGAGGCGACTTCAAGTTCGGGTAATTGGATCCCGTGAGCAACTGTTTGCTTTCTGGGCACTGCAGCAACTTCCTTCTGCCTTTTGTTCTGGCCATTAGCGTGTGCAATGTGCGCTCGCTGGATTTTGGACGCAAGTTGGTGATTGTGCCGCTGGCACCTCGCACAGCTTGCGGTCCATGCGCAGTCCGGGAGGGAGATGCAGCACTTCAATTGCCGCCTGCCGCCTGCCGCCTGCCTCCTGCAGCCAGCCGTAGGCGCACTTTAGTCACACATCACTTGGCACTTGACAGTTGGCAGTTGGCCGTTGAATCTTGTCGCAGTTACCATCATAGTTGCAGCCACGTGCCGCATAAACAAAGGCTTGACTCTTGGCTGGGCTGGGCAGGGAGAAGCCCCCACGCACTCCAGACACTTGGCTAACGGGACTTGGCCCCGGCGCCGCCAATGACAACAAAAAACAGAAAAAAACCCGAGCAAAAAAGGGGAAAGAATCCAAATATCGTATCATCTTACTGCCCTGTGAGAACCTTTTGACATTGGCGTGTGCCTGGGCAACGACTCCACATGCCGTTCGCCGTTCGCCGTTCGGCCCGAAGCTTGGACTCTGATTGCGCTGCGCACAGTTAGAATTGATTGAAAATTGGTTAACCGCAGAGGCAATTGCGCAGCGAATTGCAAATCGAAGATGATGCCGTAACCGAATAATAGCGCCCAGCATCTTAATCTAAAGCCGCCCCAGCGTCATGTAACTCCATCAGCAGCGATTTGCATGCAACGCACTCAAATTGGGCCGCAGGTTCAAAACCAGTAGCCGCCTGTTGTTGCAGTTGTTGCAGTTGTTGTTGCAGCCGCAGTCTGAGTAATTTGCAGCGTTTAACTGGCGGCGGGGGCCAGCGGCAAATCGATTTCTGCAGCTTCTGGCGCCACAAACCGATTTGCAAGAGACAAGCTGGAAGAGGAGCGAAGGGGCGAGGGGGTGGTGCACGACTCGACTCAATATTGATTTAGACTTAACCTTGCCGCACAGTCTGGCCGCCCCCTTTGCTGACCTTCAGCTACATAAATTTCGCACAGCTTCCGCTCGCATCCTTCGGCCCGGCTTCCCGGCTTCCGGCGTGCGCGCGCGCGCTGACATCTAATTTGATAAACACGCACAAATTTATTGATAACGGAAACGGGCGAGTCCAAGGCGAAAGAATGGCTTCGACTTGCGTCCAATGTGCGCAACAAATTGCCTGTGTAATCAAAAAGCTTCCTCCGGTCTCGACCCCTCCTCCTACTCCGGCACTACTTAGTATGCAGAAGTTAGTCGGCTTGCGTCCTGTGACAAATTAGGCCAACAATGCGGCAGCAGCGCGCCATAAAAAATAACGAAAAACGAGCTGAGCTGAGCCGAGCATAACAAAAGTTGTCAATTAGCCAGGAAGAGCGAGCAGGACGCCGAACGCATTGCAGCAGCTTCCGGTGTGAAAGCATTTTGTCAGCTTGGACGCACAAAAGGCGCCCCCTCAGAGCGTAGCCGGCCTCAAGATGTTCGCCGGCAGAGAAATCCATAAAAAAAACGACTCCTTGAGTCCTTTGTGCCAGTGACTCTCGCGATTTCAATAACCATTCCAGCATAGTTAATCGTAGGACAACGATCTATCAATATGCTAATGCTGCGATTTCTATCCACTGAACTGTGACTAGTCCATCAAATTATGCAAAGTCAGTTCAAGCGAACAATTAATGTCCCGTATTGCCATTGGATATATACCAAATGTGTATCCTATATATGCCCATTAAAAAATCTATATAAAACAAAATTAGTACATGTACTTTTTTCTTCAATATACATATGTATATAGAGAGATAGAAGAGAAACCAGACTTATCTAAAACATACACAAAAAAATTACTAGAATATTTTTGAAATGTTTTTAAAATATTTATATTTTTTAGTCTTAAGACTATAAATCAATTCAAATAATATTAATAATACAAAACAAAGTTGATATATTCAGAATTGCTGAATTGCTCGCTCTCTCTCTCTCTCTCTCTTTCCACATCTCTCTCTCTCTCTCTCTCTCTCTATCTCTGACTGAAACATTCATATATCAAGATTGGGTGCCCAATACATACACATACATATATCATCTTGTATATATTATATATAAATTTGCCTGGGCTTTACATCACATTTTAAATACTACAGCCAACTGCACTTTAGCACAAACTCACATCTGATATAACGTTATGAAAATTAGATTAGTCCATCCAAATGAAAAGTTTTTATTTGAAGCGTGCGTAGATTGCTTAGTGTTCAGGGTATCTCCTAGTCGAGCACTCCCCACTAGAGCACTCTCTACTTGCTGTCAATTAAGAATTTCATCGTTAATGGTGCTACTAGGTGTGTGCAGACCTCAACTCAATTTTGCTCTACTCGTATTGTACGGTACATTTAACTCACAATTTTGCAGATTAATAACAGTTTGAGGACGTTCCATCTATACGCGTATTCTTAAACAAAATGATAATAATTTATTCAGACGCAATCATAAATATATTAAATGATAACAAAATGATGATATTTATCTAAAGTTTTAGGTATGGAAGGTAAACTACTCCAAGTGACTCTACTCTAAAGGGTAACTGCCTCTACAGGGCAAAGAACAATGTTGACAGTCAACATCTTTTGTTCAGCTTGTGAAATCTGTTTATCCAATGCAATCGAATGAAGCTTGATAAAATGATACAAGCCAATTGGCTGCCACAGTTTCCTGCCTTCCTTTCGATTATCCGCCTTGATAACTTCGAGAGTCGTCTGCTTGAACCCTGTGCTTCCGAAAATCTCCAGAAGAAGAAGTCTGCAACGGTTAAATCCAGAGATTAGGCGACCCGAAATGCCTTGCTGCACTCCTTATTCCGCATTCTTAAGGCATAAGGATTAAGAGAAACTTTACATTTAAGTATTTCACCAATTTATTGGAGTGTTTTATTATAGGTAGACCCCTTCTGCTCCACTCCATCTGAATAACTTCATCTAGCAGTCCCACGTCTACATATAATCTTTGGCGTAGCCAGCACAGTAGCTCGTTCTTGTTCACTGATTTGACTTCGATCGCCCGATTCATGGGACATTCAATCGTGTATACATAGTATACATGTCGAATCAGTGTTAATTAGTCGTTCGGTTTGTGGTTACGGCAGCATCCTTTACGCACATTTGCTCAGCTCGTTCGACGCGGATGCCAATGGCTAACGAACGCTAATGGCTGCATGGGAAAAGTTTCGCACGGTCGTGCGGCACTCATAAATTTATGAGTGGCACTCGTAAAAATGCAAATCGCTGCCAGAGGGAAAAGCGCAACAAATAATCAATTTGTTACAGAGGCGCTGCGACAGGACCACAAGCAGGCGGCGGCGCCCAAGGATGCGAAGGCCCAGTTTGCATGCTCTACGCACGCAACTCGAACCCTCCTGAGGCACGGAGGACTTRGAGGACGCAATGCGTTGCGTTGGCCACTTCACGCAACAGCCGCAGTTGGAGTGGATTGACTCTAGCCTTGGAGGAGGATGGGCTCAGCCTCAGCCTCAGCCTCAGTCTCAGTTCGCCTCGTCCCGTCTTGGGGGTTGGGCCCGGGGCTGAGAGGCAGCGCAAATTGAATTCGCTTAGCCGCAACCCCGTAAATTAAGAGCAACAAGCGCTGTTGCCTTTGTCAAACGAAAGTTGCGAAAATGGCAAGCGGCAACTAAATAAGCAAAACAAACAGCAGGCCGCGTCACATACAAATTCATATCAAAGTAACTGCCCTCATCCCTCCACTGCCCCCACCCCGCCTCAATGACAGCCACCCCTTGAGGGTTGCAAGTCAATTAGAAACGATTCGAGGCAGCTCGGCGCACTCGAACGCCGCGCAATGCCGTCTTTTACGGTGAGAGCTCAGCGAGCTGCGCGTCGCCCGTGAAGAGCTGCGGGAACTTCAGTTCCGCTCAAGATTGGCAAATGTTAACAATTTGCAAGTGGCACACACAGTTTAGGGCACGGCCTTCCCAGGCCGCAGCCAGGGCCAAAATGCAACAGTTTTTCAAGAGGCTCCGGCCAAGAGACTCGTGTGTCAGCTCGCATTACGCTCAGGACGTGAAGGACCGCGACTTGACTCGGCCACTCGGCCAGCCACTCGAGCGCACAGTTGCAAAAACAAAGGCTCTCGCATCTCGATTGCTCTTTTCCAGCTCGTTCTCATTCTCGATTTCGGTTTCGATTTCGATCTCGAGTTCTCATTCTCACTCTCACTCTATCGCTCTTATTTTTTGCTCTTTTATTTGTTACAACACACAATAGACGTCTTAAGACTAGGCACAAAAAAATTATTAAATATAAGAAAAAAAATTGGTTTCAAAAAAAAAAAAAAAAAAAAAAAAAAAATGTCCCTGCTTATGTACAAAACATTTACAAAAATGTACAAAAATCCTTTAAGCTACGTTTTAAATAGTTAGATCGAGAAAAAAAAAATACACTACGACTACATATATATATTATTTATATATTGTATATTATTTATAGATCTACTTCATATTTGTTGCGAGACATTTCGTAGTCGCCCTCTGAGATCCAGCTCTGCTGCTGCGGCCGCTGCTCTGCCTCACACCTCGAGCGCCAGCTCCTCGTCCTCTTCGTCCTCATCGACGTCGACCGCTGGCAGCGCCGTCAGCGTCGTCAGCTCCCCGCGCTCCGCCTCCAGCGGCGGCGTCTTGGCGGCTGACGCCAGTGGCGCCTCCTCGGCTGGGCCGTGATCGCGGCGCGGCGGCGGGCTGCCCGGATTGAGGGGCGGACTCGGCGTCAGCAGGCGCTGCCGACTGCTGCTGCTGCGCTCGTAGTCGGCCTCGCTGTTGGCGCTCTGGCTGGTGGCCGGCGAGCGCTCGCGCGGCGCCAGCGGCGGCGCATAGTAGCCGCCCAGCATGGGCGCGGCTCCCGGCGGCGGCGGCATGCCCGGCAGCCCCATGCCCGGGGGCATGCGGCTGGGGTACATGTAGGTGGCGGGCAGCGCCGGCTTCTGCAGCGCCGCGGCGGCCGCCGCCTGCCGGTAGTAGATATCGATGGCCGAGGGCGGGGCGCCGTGCGGCGTCTGGGCCGCGGCGGCGGCTGCGTACGGCCAGGCGCTCAAGTAGGGCGTGGCGCTGCCGTAGAGCCGCTGAAAGGCTGCGTAGTTGCCGGCCTCGGCGAGCAGCTCCAGGCCCACGGCGGTCTGGCGCTTCCACTTGGTTCTGTCAAAGACAAGCGAGAAGAAGAAGAAGAAGAGAAGGAGAAAAACTCGATTAGTTGCGTGTCGAATGCTTAAAAAAACGGAAAACGAAAAACTACGAGTCGGCATTAGGCAGCAGGCCTCGATCTAAGCCAAACTAATCCGCAATGACGGCAGCCGCTGCCGCTGCCGCTGCTGAGGCTGCCTCCTGCTATTAATCATGCCGCAGAGTGCCGACTCATGCCGCTGACTGCGCGTGTCCTTGCCGCCCGCTGAGCGCCAGGACGGTCGACCGACCACTCGCCGTCGCCGTCGCCGTCAGTTGCCCTTTGCTATTGCTGTTTATATTTCGCACTTAATTGTTTTGTCATTTATCTTGCAGTCCCAACCGACGCACGCCCACCACACAGACACCAAGAGTGGAAGGCAGAGAGAGGGAGAGAGTGAACGGCCTAATTGGCCAGGCACGCCTGCACTTGCCCAAGGCGCAGCCAGAGAGCGAGAGCGAGAGCGAGAGCATCTTTGGCAAATCCTTTAATTGCGCCTAGGCGCCAGTCGAGCCTGCGTCCAGCCCGAAGCTGAAGCTGAGCTGCAATTTTCGCGCGGCCACCGGCTGCAGCTGTGAAAGTGTTTAACATTACCAAATACCCTATAGAGTTGGGCATATGCAATTTGTTAAGGCACTTGGGCCACATGACCTAAATGAAGATTTTGCCATGCTCTCTGAATCTCTTTCTCTCTCTACCTGTCTCACTCCCTTCTTGCATGATAGATTGATGGTAAGAACTATCGAATACCCTGCAGCAGGCCATATGCAATTAGTTGAGGTATTTGGGCCACATGTCTCAAATGTAGATTTTTACTATACTTTCTCTCTGTCTCTCTCACTATCTCTTACTCCCTTCTCTTTCCAAGCAGTGCAAAATAGATAAATATTTATATTCATGACATTTCATGAGATTTTACTTTACTAGAGACTATCTTCTCCTCTCCCTCTGCCTCTCCCTCACTCTTTCTATCTCTCTCTCTCCCACATTCTTTTGGCAGTGCATTGGCAAGTCGTTGTGATCGCATCAGCGAAGTCTGTTCTCAATATCCGGTTGACTTTTTGCCCACCTATGGAAGATGCTGGGACTGCGGCCAGACTGTAAATGTCTGAATCGGAGTCTGAGTTGCTGCTTGAGTCTCTTCGCCGCTTTTAATGACCGACGAAATGTGACAAGTCATTGGGCAATAATTAAAAATGAGAAAAAATACAACAGCAACAACAGCAGCAAATAATAATAAACGAGAGAAAGACAGAGAGAGAAAACGCTATTAAACGTAATAAGGCAGCGACTTTGGCAGCTATTTTTAAACAGCAGCAGCGGCAAATGCCATTGGAAATCGAATCGAATAGCGGATGACGCCGAGCAGCCCCTGATAGGCAGCACCGACAGTACATGCGCCATACGAAAGACTTAGGCAACAAACTTGCGGCGAGTGGCGAGTGGCGCACGAAAAAAGTAAACAACTCATTTAATAAACAGCAAAGCATTTTACGACTCTTGCGCAAAATGCAGCAAATTAAGCAATCAGCATAAAAACAAAACGCATAAACAGCGCCGGGCACTGATTCCGAACCGGTTCGCCGCTCGGCAGATGGGCCGACGGACAGACGGGCAGACTGGCGGATGGATTGAACCGAAACGGCTTTCGGGGGTAGCCATTAAAAGTGTTTTTATTCGAGAAGTGCGCGAAGAAATGGGCGGTTCCATAAAAGGCGCTGATTAGCTAGCTAGTTGGCTAATCCACCTTCCAAGCAAACCCTTCCCCTGCCCCTGCCCCTGTCCTTGCCTTGGCTGGCTGATCAATCAAAGGAGCCGACGACTCACCTGCGATTCTGATACCAGGTCTTCACCTGGCAGTCGCTCAGCTCCAGCTTGTTGGCCAGCTCCATGCGATCCTGCACGCTGAGATACTTCTGCCGCTCGAAGGACTTCTCCAACGTCTGCAGCTGATGGTCGGTGAAGGCGGTGCGCGCCTTGCGCTGCTTCTTGCTCAGGCTCAGCCCCAAATGGGAGTCCCCATTGGCGCTGCTGTTGCCATTCTTCATGCTATCCTCGCCGTCATCGTCTTTGCCGCCTGTTTGATTATATAAATATAGATATATTAATGTTATATGCTGTAACATGACTCTCTCTCTCTCTCTCTCTCGTTTGCTTAGTCTTTCTCTTTACTACATATCTATCTATATATACATTTGTCTAGCATCCGACTTGTACTTGGCTTTATGGCAAGAACACATGCAACACGAGATAAACACAACTGCGGCCTGTGGCATGCCATTGCTAATTTGCAATTAAACACTTTATGAGCACAAATTACAACAACAACAACAATGACAACACAATCACTCGATTTATCTCTCCTTTGCTGTGAAACGTGTGAAACGAAGCCTAACAAATCGCATAGCGAGTACTCAAAAAATACTAGCGAACAGACTGCTAATCCAATTTCATCACGGATCAACTTCTATTTATAAGCAATTTGCCATTTAATTGAGTTTTTCATTTTGCAAATAAACGTATTCTCAATTAAGTTGCAGCTGATGAATTTGATTGTGTCTCCATATGGAAGTACAACAGTCTCAAAATCTCATCATTTTTGCTTTCCTTTCATGCATTGCCCAACAAATCTTAATTGGTTTACTTTACAAAGATATATATACGAATCTTAGGTATAAATATAATTATTTTTTGCTTACATATGTATTTATACCTATGATATATACAAATCTATTAGCTATGGGCAATCTATAAAGTAAACCAATGTATAACTTAATGAAGAGAATGAGATCGAAGCTCAAGTAGCATGATTTAATACTAAATTTTGTACAACATAGTTTTATAATAAATACAATATTTATTTTACGAAAATAAATATAG